TTGGAGGTGTATGATAATGTTTATTATGTTATTGTGAATTAGTTCACTTGTGTTATATGGAGAATGTTGTTGTGCATAATATTGAATGTATGGTGATTATTGATGATATTGCATTTTATGGTGTATGATTTAGTATGATGTACGAACTTTGGTCCATTTTTGGTGTGCTCTGTTCTTATCGTATGGATTTAGGAGTGAGATAAACATGTGTTGTCTATAATGGTATCACATGCATTGTTGAGTCGTGGTGTTAAGTACATTTATATTCATTGTTTACATATGTATTGAATGATTATGTTGATATTGTCGATTGAGAACACTTTGGTGATGTATGCGATTGAATTGTGTTAAATAATTGTTGATGTTTGTTTAGGATACCCTTGCATACTTTTGCACCATTATATATTATGAGCATATTCTCACCCTTTTGTTGTTTGTGTGATTCTATGCTCCTTCATGGGATACAGACGAACAGGTAAGTGAGTAGCTGCTTAGAAGTTGAAGGATGGTGTTGAGGCTATTTTTCTTGTTCCTACTTTTATGCGATATTTAGATTTCGTTGCTATGATATGTAACACTGGGTGGGTGAACGTTTTGTTTTGCTATTTTCTATTTTTTTATGTTGTTGGTGTTGAAGGGATTTTTCCATAACCTTGTTTTATGTTATCAGACTTCATTAGTTGTTGAGTTATTTCAATTAATTTATTTCTGCTACGATGAGCCTATGTTAAGGCGAACACGTGTTGACAAGTGTTTAACTTATTGAATTTTTTTATCTAATTCGTGTTACAAAGTAGATTCATGTTGTGTTTGAATGACACCATGTGTGTGTTGTTGTTTTATATTCACATTATTTCGCGTTTCAGGGTTTAAGGTGTTACTTCACACCCTTTATGAACCAACTTACAGTCGATCATATGAAACTTCTGCTCCATAGACCCTCTTCTCGAGAGGTTGAGGATTCGAAGGCTCGTTATGCCCTAGTCGAGGCAAAAGTGGCCAGTTTCGAGAGGGATTGTTTCATGTTGCATCATCATATGGGAGAAGCTTTCTCTTTCAAGGATAAAGTGAAACAATCTAGATCTCCCAGAGTCTTGGTCAATTGGCTACCTGAACTTGAAAAGCTATTCAAAGAGAAAGATCGGGGTGTTCAACATATGGAACTCAAGTTAGAAACTTCATCTTATGTAATCCAAAACCTCTTATTGAAACTTGGGGAGAAATAGACCAACCAAACTAATGATATGGTGGTTCTCTAGGAGGAACAGGTTACCTTGAGTAACCAACCGTGGGGTCTCTCTAAAGATGTCGTGAAAGAAGTTTCCTTCAAGAATGTTTTAGGCCAACTGGAGTCTTTAGTACATGGCTTAAAGGTTTTCAATGAGTCTTTCTCTTTGTTTGATCACAATTCTATGTAATATGCAATTTTAATGTTTCGGATGATATTTTTCATACCATGCATTTTGCTTTAATTAACTTATATTGTATCAATACACTCTATTTAGTGTTTATTGGTGTTGCTTCGCCTAGTGGCGGGGCTTGAATCCAGCGAGATATGGTCGTACCTTTGAAATGTGTTCCGTGTCATGGAGGACCTTTCACCGGCTAAGGGTAGGATCCTCATCCATGCGCCCCGAGGAATGACTCAGATCGAGCTGGACGTCTCTAGGCTCTACCATCTAACGCCATTGGATTGGCTAGATTCGAAGAGGGGGTTCGCCAGTTACGCAGAAATGCGTTTAGCCTGAATAAAAATGCATAGAAATGCATGAAATGAGTCTTAAGCCACATCAGATATGCAGTGATGCGAGTAAACTTTCTTTAGTATCTTGTAAAATATAGACAGAAAAAACGCAATAGAAGAACGATGACAAATGAATATTTGTATTCATACTAGAGTTAGTTAGTCACAAAGATGATACTGAAAACAAATTATTAACTTTAATATGACTTTAACTTGGCGACAATCCATGCCCTCATTATTTGGTCGCCTTCGAGGGATTCTAGAAAGTATGCCCCTTTCCCGGTGTTGTCTCGCACTTGGTATGGACCTTGCCAATTAGCTGCTAACTTTCCATTCTGGACCTTATTCTTCCTGATATCCACTCATCGAAGCACTAAATCTATGGCGTGGAATTCTCGGGGGTGAACGCGACAGTTGTATCCTGAAGCGGCGCTTTACCTAACAATGGCACTTGTAAGGTAATTACCATCCTCATTTTTTTTCAAAATGTCAATCCATTCTCTAATAGTTTTTTCGTTGCTTTCTATCGACAATGGATTAGTCGTCCTTCGGCTCAGCTCTTCGATTTCTACGGGAATGACAAAGTCTTCATTCACTAGAAAATTCAAAAAGGCTAGGGACTTTTTTCCTTCATACGTATAATATATGCGAATCACTAAACACACAAATTATTGAAGGTTTTTAGTATTTCATCACATTTATCGATGGTTACAGTATATATAATTATTTATCTTTGATTACACAGTCTGAATCTCTTAAAAAAAAATTCAAGAAATTGAAAGCAATGAGATTTGTAGACAGTTTTAAAAGATACTAAATTATTGTGTGGGTTTTAGAGCGCAAAGGATACTACATGTGTTTTATTAATAGTTACGAAAAGATAACGTTCATACTTTATTGAGATAGATTAAGACTCTGTTTGGCTAGTCATTTTTTGAACTTATAGCTTATAAGCTTATATGACAATAAAAAACTTGTTTGATAACACTATTTTTATCACGAGCTTATAACTTATTTTTCATATGCTATTTCAAACAGCGCTTTAACTTATAGTTTATAGCTTCTCATTTTTTCTTCTATTTTTGCCCTTATCATTTTAACAAAAATCCACTACTATCATTTATAATTTATTTTAATTTAAAATGAAACAATTAAATATTAAATATATTTTATATCATTTTAATTTATCAAATAATTGAATCGCTAATTTTACTAAACACTACAGTTAACTTATCAACTATAAATCATCAGGTATCAGCTATAAATTATAAGTTATTATTTATCAACCATCAATCATAAACTATAAATTATCAGCTTATCAATCAACTGTTATTTTTATCAAATAAAAACTAAATGATTAACTTCCTATAACATTGAAACTTATAATAAATAGTTAAATATTCTTAAATATAATTTTCTACTTATTATTTTTAAAACTAGTCTTCTTCTGGCCATTTTAGAGTCAATTTTATTGACTTGACAATGAATAAATTGACAAACTTAATATACATATCTCACATTTTATGGACAATCTTATTCACGTTATCAACTTATATTTATCTACTTAAAAACTCTGATATCACCAAAATTAACCTTATTTGAGACAATAAATTAAGATATTGGAAATGTCTAAAAGAAAATAAAATATTGAAAAGTAAATTAAAATTAAATTTTAAAATAGATGAATCAAATCTTTATTTTTTTATAAAGATCAAATTCATTTATAGAAAATAGAAGAACAAAAATTACATTATTTAATAAAAAATAACAATATTATCATTTATATTTTTTATTAAAAAGTTTAGAATTTAAAAATAGTGCATAAACAACAAAAAACTATATTACACATACAACTAATTAAAATTTTATATTTGCCAACATATTTTATTTTTTCAAAAATTTATTTGAATTTTAAAAATAATTGTTATTAAAAAAGTTACTACTTAAACAAGTCAGCCCAATTTATTTTAATTTTAGAAACAAAATTTTTAAAATAAAAAAATGAAGATAAATTAAGCATGAGCATAATTATTAATTAAAATAAAATATAAATATTCACCCCAAATTAACTCCTAAAAAATTGAGTGACCTAAAGACTAATTCGTTCCAAAACCTAACTATACAACTTTAACCCAATCGAGTCAGGTCGCCCAGAAGACAAACCTCATTTTTATTTTCAAAAAATTTTAAATTATTTTAGAGTCATTCAAAAAATATACTTTAATCAAAAATAATTTTGTTCTGATATTAGATACCTATTTAGAAGTTTTTGCAATTCAATTATGTAGATAGAATCATCAACGATAAACAATATAAAACTGTATTACACATACAACTAATCAAAAAATTTATATTTACCAACATATTTCATTTTTAAAAAAAATTTGTTTGAATTTTAAAAATAATTGTTATCTAAAAAAGTTAGTACTTGAACAAGTCGGCCCAATTTATTTTAATTTTAAAAACAAAATTTTTAAAACAAAAAGTGAAGAAAAATTAAACATGAGTATGATTATTAATTAAAATAAAATATAAATATTTATGTAAAATTAGCTTCTTAGCTTTTAAAAAATTGAGTGATATAAAGACTAATTCGCTCCAAAATTTAATTATATAAGTTTAATCCAATCGAATCGGATCTGATAGTTCAACAACGGAAACTGAACACCGCTACGGAAATCTTTTTAGATTTTGTACTTTTATTGTGCTTATATAACTCTACGTTGTGTTTCATTTCAAGATAACAAAAGTTAGGGTTTCGCATATTCGTTTCAAATCCTTCCCATTACCCTAAAATCCCGATTTATCGATGACGTGAAAGCCCCATTGCACATGCAAAATCGATGCTATTCGTGTTGCAGTTCATCTCGAAATTCCACGTTAGATCTGTGTCAAAGTAATGGCAACATTCGTTAATTCGAGATTTTGAATTTTTCTTTCGGTTAGTATTTATTCTGAATTTCCCTCGTTAACTCTTCAGCTTGTTTTCGAGCATAGATCTGTTTCACTAGATTTTGAGCTAGTCCTAGAGGCACATATTGAAACGCGGTTGTTCTCCCATTGTGGTTTTTGCATCTTTGTTATCCATCCTCTGGAAACAATCTTTACCATATTAATTAAATTTTAAATTAATTTTAAAAAATTCAGTACCTAACTTTTTCATTGCAAGCTGAGAATTCTATTAATGAACAAATAAAAAGATATAAGGATAAAGTGTCGATTCTGTGACAGGTTGTGCATTGGGTGTTGAGTGCTGATGGATGATCCGTTTGATTCTTCTGTGAATTTGGAGGAGACCCATTTGATGGAAGGCTACGACGAAGGCTACAGCGATGGCCTTGTTGCGGGCAAGGAGGAGGGAAAGCAGGTTGGGCTCAAGGTCGGTTTTGAGGTTGGTGAGGAACTTGGCTTCTACAGCGGCTGCATCTACATCTGGACATCCGCCACCCAGATTGATCCAACCTGCTTCTCTTCACAGGCCAAAACGGCTATCACCCAGATGCAGGACTTGATCCACAAATACCCTTTAACGGATCCTGAAGATCTACAAGTGCAGGAGCTCCACTATAAAGGCTATCCTGCTGAGGCTAATGACACTCAGTTTTGAACCAGATTTTGGCTACAATGGTAAAAAAAAAAGTTGAAGGATAATGTTGGATATGTAAGTTGCAGTATTGAATACTTACCATATGTATTATTTGTATTTATTATTAAGGGTATTATTGAGCATATATTAAATTAGACATGTCTGGTCATTCTTCTAAAATCTGGTTAATTTTAACAAGTAATTATTAAAATAAGTGCTTATCACGACAACACAGAATTTGGAGATTTGGAGATAAATTGACTAATTTGTTGAATCAAACTTACTGTTTTGTGATTTATTTCATGAAAAATATTCTTTTTGGTAAACTGTATTATAGTTGTGATTTCCATATTAATAATATCTGGTATAATTTTTAACTATTGGAATGATCTGAGATTTTATGTGATAGTCGTGTAAAAATTTATTTGGGGCACTGAACTTATATACAGATACTGTTGCATCCATTTTTTCTTTCAAAATTAAGATTTTTTGCCAAACAGTACTTAAGCAATTTCATTACCACCCACTTACTCTTGATTACTGTTATACCACACGAGTTTGCATCACTACTGTCCATGTTTTATATTTTTACTTGTTTGTATTGGTGTATTTGCAAAATATATTTCTAAGTTTCCGCCCTTTCTTCTTCCTTGCAGTCCGTCCATGGTGGAAAAGTATGAAGTAGATTTTGGCGAAAAAGGTTGCTGTCACAGCTGGCAGTCCGTCCATGGTGGAAAAGTATGAAGTAGATTTTTGGCGAAAAAGGTTGCTGTCACAGCTGGTCTGCGAAGGAAACTCGAGTTCTCTTTATTTTTGGAATTGTAAAAACAAAGGGAAAGTCTGTCATGAACTATGTATTGTAGACCAATGTTTTTCATGTCACAATGTCCCATTTATATTGAGATTATTGACAGTAAAAGAAATTTACAAAAGCTACTTGCCACAAGCAGATATTATTGTGAACATCAGTGGCATAAATTGGACAATCAACATTTTAACATTGTGAAAATAATAGTTTATGTTGATACACATGCAATAAAGTTGATTGGAGAAAAAATTCTTAAAGTGAAAGTACTTCATCCTGATTCCACGTGCACCCACCGAAAAAGTGAACCATATTTTAATGACTTTGTATTAAAGACATGTCCTCAACTGTACAAAACTGGTCATAACCCCATGGAAAGAAATTAGCATAAATAGTATGCTTCTATCTGAAGCCTAATCAGATTGGACCATCCATTCAATGTTGAATAAAGTCCATCGAACATGAATTGCTATATAAAAATTTCTCCAAAAGATTAATCAATAAAGGAATCTGTTTCGAAGATGAAACTCGGTTGTCTTTTTTAACTCAACAAAAATAAGAAGGTTGCTATAACATAAATGGTTGGCTTGAATTTGCAAAACTAAACCGAAACAAGCACCAAAAAAACTACTACTATGGGTGCTTGTTGCTTCTTACTATCAACTTATATTATTCAATACAAAATTCTAACTTTTTAAATCAGATGTATAACCATATTATGTACACTTGGCATTATCCAATCTGTAGTGTACCCCATTGTCACAAACACTATTTACTTGTAAAGTCTTCAACTGGTGTAGCTTCTCTGCACCAGGTCCTGGCCTTAACACCGTGTCATTTCCCCGCAGAGAACATGGATCTGCTCCACCATCTGATGTCCCAATACACCACGCCCCTGGCGAAAATCTATGTGTCCGCCCCAAAAGTTCTTTGTCAATCTTGTCTAGGACTGTATCATCTTTTCCAAACTTTCGGGCAAAGGGAGCATTGCTCTTAGCCATTTTATCAAAGTCCTTCTTCATAGATAAAGAGATTGGATGTTGCTTTGGAGGACTGTCCCGCGCAATATAGTGAAGATCGTGACTTATTGCAGTATGCCGAAATTTCTCAGTATTACAAATAACAGTATGAAAATATCCCACTGGCGAGGAGACAAAATTTGTATAATACATAAGCATTGTCCGCGGAAAGTTATCCCATCCCCATATACAATACTCCACATACGACCGTGTTAGTACAACCCAAGCTGAACCTGTTTATAAAGCATAGACAGAAATTTAAGTATGTTGTAGAAAATAAAGGAATAAATGTATATGAAATATAGAAACAAAACATACCGGTGAACAATTTAAAAGATGTGGGAAGTGTTCTTTTCTGAGAAGTCACTGCCAAATCAGATTTCTTTGATAAGTAAAAGGCAGGATCAATAATGATGGGCCTTGCTCTTTGGTTCCTGAACATATACACAATAATAGAAAGAAATGTCAATGAGGGGATTGCGGTAATACAGCAATTTTCAAATATGCAATGTTGTAATTTCACTTACAATTTCCAACCGGAAATGTGTGTATGTTCAATGAAATTGAGATCTCTCGACAGATTAGAGAAAACATGAAGCATATCTGCATAACAAATATGAAGTGACTTACATAGAATCTAAAATAGGAGTAAACATCATGCTCGTATAAGTTGATAATGTATGCAATTCAACCAAATGCGGAGTGAACATTAAGAGATGAACGATACGAATCTTCATTTATGGCAACAGATCGAATATAAAGATATATGTACTGAAGAAGATGTTGACACCAGAAGACTTGTATATTGCTGACTACAAATGCCCCTAAGCAAATAGTTAGGGTCAAAACTGAATGCATTTTGTATGCGACAATCTCCCAAGACAAGTTTAGACTTTTAGTATGAACTTAAACCATCAAATTCAGAAGGATAATTATCTCAAATGTTTTACACTTCAGACCATATAAGATAACACCAATCTTGTTATAATCAACGTCCAAAACACATTCATGAATGAATCTGGGATTCCTGAGAAAATTCAGAAATTGCTTAGATTGGAAATCATTCCTTTAAAGTGAGTTTTTGTTTTACATGAACATAGTGGGGGAAAGCCACGGAGTTTGCTATATGTGCAACGAAGTAATATTTGAGGGGCATATTTGTTTTCTATTTGGGCATCGCCTTTTCAGCATGGGGCCATTGGTATTCAACTTGGCCGCATTTTCTCTTAGAGTTTATGTAGTGTTCTTCCATTTTCCTTTGATAATACACTTTCCCTTCTTTAGATAGGAATAATAGCTATCAGTAATAGTACTCCCTTAATTTTTGTGGGACCAACGGTTGATAAGCCCTTGCCCACTTTAGAGGCAAACTCACTTTAAAGGAGGCAGATCGACTTAGTTAGATTAGAGGACACATAAATTGTGTAAAATAAGATGTAGACCTTTAAAAAAAATGATTATATATTGAAAATGCGTTGTTTGACATCTGAGCTAGAAGTTGGAGCTCACAAATGTAATCTGGTATAACAGCAAAAATGACTTTCATATCCAGACAGATATCTCAAATATCAACATAAAATGGCACTTGGGAAACTCTAGCAGAAACAATATCAACATAAAATGGCACTTGGGAGAACTCTAGCAGAAACAAAATGAAGTAAACACATGTTCCATGTCAAGATACTTAAGGCTAGGCTAGAATCAATGTGGTTGGAAGATGTTATGAAATGTGATTAGGCCTAACTCAACTATACAAAACCGACCGACATGTAGGGTGAGGAATGTCTCTACTTATAAACACATGTTCAAGCCACATATTGTCCAACGTGGGACTCTTAATAGAAGACTTAAAAAGAAGATAAGCAATAGAGTTCCCTGGAATAATGAATACAACCAAACAAGGGAATTACAAAGGAAAGGAAGATAAGCAGACTTGCTTCATTAGCTCAAGTCCAATTTTATTTGCAAACCTTATACCACAGAAGACACCATAGTTTATGCAAGCATTTTAATTACAGAAATAACATATATAACATCAAAGAAGCAGGTAAAAGTTCAATTACTAACCATCCTGTGTCACAAGAGGATAATCTGAGGCACTGAGGTTTATAAACCAGTCCCACTCCGAACTCTCCTTCAGCAGTATCGCAATAGCTTGAAGAGTACAAGCAATCATCTTAGGACCCTTATAAGTAACCAAATTAGATTGAGACATAACCCGCACATTCTCCACTTCCCTGAATATCGGATCAGCTTTCACTGCATTTGCCAACTCCAACCTTTCCCGAGGCGGCGCCTCAAGATCTAAATGCAAAATGTACTGATTTCTCGGATGGTACACTGCCTCTAATGTCCTGAGCATCCTACGACTATCACCCTTTGTGCCCGAAATAAGGTATGCAAACTTAGGTACCTTCATCTTCACAACAACACTACCATTAAGAGACCTCTCCAAATCCGACTCCACAAAATATCCACTGGAATTATCCTCTAGCCCGTTGAGTGAAATTACATCAACCAGTGGTAACTGCTCTTCCTCACCAAAAGAACTAAATTCACCTAGAATAACCGACAGAACCAAGCTCGCGGATACCAACAAACTTGCGAAAAACGGGATAATCCATTTTTTGTCACTAAACATCCTTCCTGAATGATAACCCGCATTTTTCCTCATACTCTTATGACACTACTAAATCAAAAACAGGTTTTAAGAACAGCTTCACTTCAAGATCCCTAAGAGTTGAAACCCAAAGCAGCAAGAACCTCACAAATCTTCAAATGACAATAACAACAGATTGATAACAAACACACAACAAAACAAAAACTACCCTTTTAACAAGTATAGTTACATTTCAACAAAAAAAGGTCCATAATTTTCTGCAGGATAAAGCATGGTTTTTTTTAAATCTGCATCAACCCACACCCTAATGCCAAAGATTATAACTTTGGAGCTATATAAGGTGCATAAGATAAATGGGACCCACCCACCTCTTGCTAATAAGCTGATAGATAAATCAGAACAGAATAGATTATACCTTCATCAGAAAGATACAATTTTTAAAGGTGGGTGAAACTCCATAATAAGCGATGTTTCAGCTTCTTTACAAATAAGTTGAACATCATGGAATAGAAACTCAGAAGAAGAAGAAAAAAACAATCTTTGCGAGATTTAAATGCACCTTGTCGGTTTCTCTTTC